GCCTCCTGAGTTTCTGGGAGTATAGATATGTGCCACCACATCTTGCTGAGTTGCTGGGAGTACAGCCAGAAAGGGCTGTCCACAACAGTGATCCTAGATGAAATTCTACAGGAGTATAGAAAATCTAATTTGGCTGAAACATCTGAATTGTAAAAATAAATATAGGAAGATAAGGAGTGTGGATATCATTTATAGGCAGTAGGGAACCACTGAAGGTTTTTGAGTTGTTTAATGATGTGATCATATATAGGATGCATATCTCTTCTGGGACTGAATTTGGTTGTTTCTGTTTCCCATGCTCCCCACCTCCCATGTCTATTCTGTGAACTACCCTGTTAGTTCTACTTGCAGAATATATCCCAGACTTAACCTCTGCAGATAGTTTCTACTGTCACAAGACTCACCAAGCCACTATTATCTCTCAGCCAAAGACTTGCTGCTTTAATACTTGCCCTGCCAGTTCATTTCACACAGCCCAGTAACCTTTTACAGGTACACATAAAATCTATCACTGTCCATAATCTGGCCCCCTACCTTTCTCTCAACTCATATTCTCTTCTCTTCTCCTTCCCTCCTTCAGTTCCTGTCACTCTATACAATTTTTATTTCCTGAGCACACTGAGCTCTGCCTACCTTAGAGCCTCTGGTTCATCTGGTTGGAATGTTTTTTTCCAGATTGTCACGTGGTGGTTAGCACCTTTCCAAAAAAGGCTTCCTCTGATCCTCATGCTCCACTGATGCCCTCCATTATTTATTTTCTTGACAGTTCTCCCTCCTATCTGGATGGATTTCCTTATTGCTTTGAGTGTATTACTTTTTCCGCATACTATTCATCCAGATATATGTTTTGTTCATTGCTGTATTCCCAGTGCCTAGAAGTGTCCTGGCACCTAGTATACATTTCTTGGATTATTAATTTAGAGATTGACTGGGGCAGGGAGGGCAGATTAGAGCCTACTGCAGTATTTGCAGTATAGTGAGAGTTCACAGAGGGTATCTACAGTGAAATGAAGAGACAGAGGCAGGTGCAAGTACAATCACAGATCTGTCAGGGTTTGACTTGGTTTGAAGTGTTCAGTTATTGGAGAAGGAAGAGGCAAAGAGCCTTGAACTTGAATAAACTATAAGAAGCTTAGGAAAAGTTGTTGGATTTGATGGGAAAAGAAACAGTTCCAAAAGTGCTGAGTTTGAGTAGTAACCACCTGGCAGTTAGAATGTGAGATTGTCCAGAGTTTTTTTTGTTCCTAAAAAAGGAACAAATAAAAAGGAAGAGGAAGTGCTACAAAGGAAGCAAGGATCATAAGTTCAGAGAAGGTGGGGGGATGTGGCATTCCCTACGAACTTTGGCATGGCTATGGAAAGTCATTGACCCTCTCCGGACCTCAGGTTATTCATCTCTAAAATGTTGATAAAACACCTCATGGTAGTGTATTTCTGAAAATTCAACTTCAGACATGACGACATGGAACCAAGGCCCAATGTAGAGTCATTTGTCAAAGGAGTCCCCCTACCTCCTTTCCCCTTCTCTAAGAAGCAGAGGATTAAGAAATTTACTCTAGTTACACGGTTTCAATTTATGTTGTTTTTCTTTCCAAGCAATGGTCTGAAAGGAGTATCACTGATTTATAATAAAATTGAGTACTTCCCTATTCCAACCTATCTGCTTCCCAGTTTTCTCTCCCTAGAGGCTACTACTTTTAACTCCCTTAGCTTTTTCTTCTAAAACTTACATCTGTACTTCAACATAACATGCCGATAGTAGTATTTCTTAATTTTTCAATTTTAGATATTATTTATCAGATTTAGTCATTTATCATCTTCACACTCAGAGAAGGCAATGATTTAGTTCTCTTATTCTTCTAATCTCAGTTCTATGAACCTGTACTTGCCCCTCCCCCTTTCAATATGTATATCTCTATTTTGTATTTCACTAATGTTGAGAGTTTATGTATTTTTACTATAGCTATTCACATGAGCTACATACTATACTATGGTTCCATCTCCTTGAGGTGCTGGGGATTGAACCTAGGGCCTCACATGTGTTAGGCAAGGGCTGCACCGCTGAGGTACCCTTAACCCTCTCCTTTCCTTTCTTGTACCAAGACTTATCTTTTTTTCATAGATAACATTTGCCTCATTATTTTTTAGTTTTTTTTTAATAACAACCACTCTTCCATATTCTCACTTCCCTCAAAATCTGAAACATTTCCTCGCAATAATTTAAAATCCAATATGTATTTGGTCAGTTTATTTTTTTTGCTGCCCTTGGAAATTCCTTCCTGGCCTTCTCTGTCTTCCTGCTCCAATTTGGACTGTTTGCTCTCTAAGCTTGCTCTGTAGCTGTGTGTCATCTGGGAATCCCTTTTTCTTTTATGTTTTAAATCTCTTGTTTTCAGAAACAATTTCCTTTCTCCTTATTTACTTCCTCCTTCATTTTGCCATGGTCCTTTTATCCTGTAACTCTCTGAGAAGGAATGCATGGGAGGTACACTCTAACACTTTGTAGAATTTCATTCTGCTTTTACACTTGATTGGCATTTTTATCTTAATATAGAATTCGAGGTTGGAAATCTTTTCACAGCATTTTGAAGACAGTGCCATAATTTATTATCTTCTAGTATTGCTGTTGAGAAATCTGATGCCATTATGATCCCCTTGTAATCTTTTTTTTTCCTTGTAATCTTCTCCCTACCCCCCACCCCCAACTTGGAACCCTTGCTTTCCTTTTCTCTCTCTCTCTCTCTTTCTTTCTTTGGTAGTGGAGATTGAACCCTGGAGCATTCAACCACTGAGGCCCATCCCCAGCCCTATTTTGTATTTTGTTTAGAGACAGGGTCTCATTGAGTTGCTCAGTGCCTTGCTGTTGCTGAGGCTGGCTTTGAACTCAAGATCTTCCTGTCTCAACCTCCCAAGCCTCTGGGATTACAGGTGTGTGCCACTGTGCCCAGTTTTAATGCTTTTAAAAATACATTATAGTCATACGTAATAGTGAGGTTCATTTTGACATAATCAGAAATGCATATAACATAGTTTACTCATTCACAATCCCAAGCTCATCCTGTTTTCCTCTTTTACTCCCTTCCCTGATCCCTGGCTTATACTCTACTGATCTTTTATTTATTTATGTATTTATTATTTTAAATTGATACATTATAGTTATACATAAACATGGAATTCATTATGATGTATATGTACATATGTGTAGCATAAGTTGGTCAATTTTATTCTGCAGTTTCTCCTCTTGCCCACCCTTCCACCTTTCCTCTCAATCCCCTTCTTCTACTCTACTGTTCTTTAATTTTTCAGGATATCCTCTACCCCTTTATTTCTCTCCTTATTTTTTCTAGCATTCCCAAAGGAGAGAAAATATTTAGCCCTTGACATTCTGAATCTAGCTTATTTCACTTGGCATGATGTTCATAAGTTCCTTTCATTTACCAGCAAATGACATAATTTCATTCTTCTTTATGGCTGAATACAATTTCTTTGTGTATAGACACCACATTTTCTTTATTCATTCATCTGTTGACAATACCTAGGCTAGTTTCGTAACTTGGCTATTGTGAATTGTGCTGCTATAAACATGGATATGCCTATATCACTATAGTATGCTGATTTTAGTTCTCTTGAATAACTATCAAGGAGTGGGATAGCTGGGTCATATAGTGGTTCCATTCCTATTCTTATGAGGAATCTCCATACTGCTTTCCAAAGTGGTTGTTCTAATTTGCAGTCTCATCAATGTGTAAGTGTATCTTTTATCTTGCTTTTTTTTTTTTTTAACTTCTGCTCAGTCCATTTGCCTGTTTTCCCTGTGTTGCATTTTTGTTTGTTTTGGTCTCTCTTTCCTGAGACAGAGGCCTAATTGAAACAACTTAGTGATCTTAGCAGGTCTTAATTTGTTGTCTTCATTTCATCCCTGGCCTCTATCCCTGCCTTCAGTTCCAAGTCTCCAATTTCTGATCCTTTCAGTTTTATGGCAAAACTAGAAGGTTCCTTGTGGATGTCCCTCACTCTAAGTTCCCTCTATCCTATAGAAAATTAGATTTCAGCTTCCGTAGGTCTGTTAGGTGAACAATTGCTTGTCCATCTCCTTTCCATTTACTAAAAGGTCCCTTCCACTCCCCTCCACTTCCTCTTTCTCTGCCCTTTTTGAGTCATGCCTTTTTCCTTCCTTTCCCACCAATTCACTGGATTTAGGGAGAGAGTGGAGATAAATGTATGTATTTAATCTACTAAGTTTAACCAGAAGCTCCCCCCCAATCCAATTTGGTTGGTTTTTATTTTTACTACTTTCTTTGATAGTTCTTAGGTTAATTTTGCATTTGTTCTCCATGTGCTCACTTGCTATGCCAGATGTTTGAAGAAGATGTCCTTGGGGAAGAAAAATGAGGGGTTTTAAAATGTAATGTTCTTGAAATGCTCACAATAGTTCAGTGTGTGAGATCTCAAGGAGGATGGGCTGTTTCTAACTACCAGAATCTCATAATAGAAATATAGTTTCACTCTTATTTGTGTAAACCATCAGGAGCATTTTTAAATGTTTGTAATAAAGTTTGTGGCTTATTGTTTAAAATAGAATTTAAGGTAGTTAATCAAAGCTTTTGGTGGTATATCCCTGACATCAGGGAGAGCCTGGTAAGTAGTCTCTAAGAGTTGATCAAAGGGAGTTGTTGAACATTTTTTCATGTATTTGTGTTTTGGTCCTTTAATCTGGTAGTGTTTCCAATTCCATTCTGAATACAGTAATGCACACTCCATTCCCCACTCAAGTCATCTTGGCGGCATCTGGTAATGTCTTTGCCAAATGGCTCCTGTTCAGGCATAAGCCTGCCTTTGCCATCAAGTCTATACGAGGTATGAACAATGATGACTGTCAGAAAATGGGCATCTTCCAAGCTCTTATTCATAGCACATTTTTGTTCTGGTAATCAAATGAAAACTGAAAAATCAAAAAAGTAAAATTCCCTGAAAAATGACCTCTAATCCCTTGTGCCTAGGTTCACCTTTCCTAGCCAGTGAAGATGGTGTACTTGGTGGAGTGATTGTTCTCCGATCATGTAGATGTTCTGCAGAGCCCGACTCCTCCCAAAATAAACAGACACTTCTAGGTAAGTTGGACACATATATATTGTGTCTTTTTCACTTTTTCAAAACATAAAAAGGCTTATATCCTTCAGTCAATAATTATAAGCTATGGGAAGGACAGGGTACACTATTGACATCTAGACATCTCTATTCTACTGATCGTTATCCACAGGTAAACATGCAAAAGATGAATGTTTATTTTAAAGTACATGCTCAATGCACATTTTCCAAGTGGGCTCAGAACCTGGGAGCTTTAGTAAAGTCCAGTATTAAGAATATTAGATAATGTATTGCTCCTCTGCCTTATTACACAAAGCATTTGAGGTGACGCATAACAATATACACAGTAACAGAAGATTTCTTCCTGTCCCCGCTCCTGAAAAGGAATCAGAACCATGTGAAGAGCTGCTGGTCTAGAAGTTAGTCCTGGCTCCATGGCTTATTAGTTCTTACACCTTTGTGCATTGGTCTTACTGTTCCATGCTACTTCCTCATCTGTAAAATAAGGATGCCTGCCCTGCCCTCCTCATAAAACTATGGTTGAGGGAGGGTCAAATGAGTGTTTTTGAAGATTTGCAGACATCCATGCAGATGTGTGGTTTTGTGTTTAGCCATGCCCATCAGTGAGTATGAAACCCAACCCACCCTCCATTTACCAAGGCATAGACTTCTGGAGTTGCTACTACTCACTTTTTCATGCACCCAGGGAGGTACTTCTTAAAAATCCATGTAAATGTGGCACATAAACTAGCAGGGTCCTATTATTTTATTTTATGAATTAACTTTTTATTTAGGCATACATACACTTAGAAAAGTACACAAATTATAATTTCTTTTTTTATTTTTTTATTGGTTGTTCAAAACATTACAAAGCTCATGATATATCATCTTTCATACATTTGACTCAATTGGGTTATGAACTCCCATTTTTACCCCAAATACAAATTGCAGAATCACATCGGTTACACACTCACATTTTTACATAATGGCATATTAGTGACTGTTGTATTCTGCTACTTTTCCTATCCCCTACTATCCCCCCTCCCCTCCTCTCCCATCTTCGTTCTCTACCTCATCTGCTGTTGTTCAATTCTCTCCCTTGTTTCCCCCCCCTTTACCCTCACAACCTCTTATATGTAATTTTGTGTAACATTGAGGGTCTCCTACCATTTCCATATGCTTTCCCTTCTCTCTCCCTTTCTCTCCCCCCACTCGTCTTTGTTTAATGTTAATCTTTTCCTCATGTTCTTCCTCCCTGTTCTGTTCTTAGTTGCTCTCTTTATATCAAAGAAGACATTTGGCATTTGTTTTTTAAGGATTGGCTAGCTTCGCTTAGCATAATCTGCTCAAATGCCATCCATTTCCCTGCAAATTCTATGATTTTGTCATTTTTTAGTGCTGCGTAATACTCCATTGTGTATAGATGCCACATTATTTTTATCCATTCATCTATTGAAGGGCATCTAGGTTGGTTCCACAGTCTAGCTATTGTGAATTGTGCTGCTATGATCATTGATGTGGCAGTATCCCTATAGTACGCTCTTTTAAGATCCTCAGGGAATAGTCCGAGAAGGGCGATAGCTGGGTCAAATGGTGGATCCATTCCCAGCTTTCCCAGGAATCTCCATACTGCTTTCCAAATTGGCCTCACCAATTTGCAGTCCCACCAGCAATGTACAAGTGTACCCTTTTCCCCACATCCTCACCAACACTTATTGTTGTTTGACTTCATAATGGCTGCCAATCTTACTGTAGTGAGATAGTATCTTAGGGTGGTTTTCATTTGCATTTCTCTGACTGCTAGAGATGGTGAGCATTTTTTCATGTACTTGTTGATTGATTGTATGTCCTCCTCTGTGAAGTGTCTGTTCAGGTCCTTGGCCCATTTGTTGATTGGATTATTTGTTATCTTATTGTTTAATTTTTTGAGTTCTTTGTATATTCTGGATATTAGGGCTCTATCTGAAGTGTGAGGGGTAAAAATTTGTTCCCAGGATGTAGGCTCTCTATTTACCTCTCTTATTGTTTCTCTTGCTGAGAAAAAACTTTTTAGTTTAAGTAAGTCCCATTTGTTTATTCTTGATATTAACTCTTGGGCTATGGGCGTCCTATTAAGGAATTTGGAGCCCGACCCCACAGTATGTAGATCGTAGCCAACTTTTTCTTCTATCAGACGCAGTGTCTCTGATTTGATGTCTAGCTCCTTGATCCATTTTGAGTTAACTTTTGTGCATGGCAAGAGAAAGGGATTCAGTTTCATTTTGTTGCATATGGATTTCCAGTTTTCCCAGCACCATTTGTTGAAGATGCTATCCTTCCTCCATTGCATGTTTTTGGCCCCTTTATCAAATATAAGAAAGCTATGATTTTGTGGATTGGTTTCTGTGTCCTCTATTCTGTACCATTGGTCCACCTGCTTGTTTTGGTACCAGTACCACGCTGTTTTTGTTACTATTGCTTTGTAGTACAGTTTGAACTCTGATATCGCTATACCTCCAGATTCATACTTCCTGCTTAGAATTGCTTTTGCTATTCTGGGTCTTTTGTTTTTCCATATGAATTTCATGATTGCTTTATCTATTTCTACAAGAAATGCCTTTGGGATTTTGATTGGCATCGCATTAAACCTGTAGAGAACTTTGGGTAATATCGCCATTTTGATGATGTTAGTTCTGCCTATCCATGAACAGGGTACATTTTTCCATCTTCTAAGATCTTCTTCTATTTCTCTCTTTAGGGTTCTGTAGTTTTCATTGTATAAATCTTTCACCTCTTTTGTTAGGTTGATTCCCAAGTATCTTATTTTCTTTGAGGATATTGTGAATGGAGTGATTTTCCTCATTTCCATTTCATAAGTTTTGTTGCTGATATACAGGAATGCCTTTGATTTATGCGTGTTGATTTTATATCCTGCCACTTTGCTGAATTCATTTATTAACTCTAGCAGTTTCTTTGTAGACCCTTTGGGTCTGTTAAATATATTATCATGTCATCCGCAAATAGAGATAATTTAAGCTCTTCTTTTCCTATTTTTATGCCTTTAATTTCTTTTGTCTGTCTAATTGCTCTGGCTAGTATTTCAAGAACTAAATTGAATAGAAGTGGTGAGAGAGGGCATCCCTGTCTTGTCCCAGATTTTAGAGGGAATGCCTTCAGTTTTTCTCCATTTAGGATGATGCTAGCCTGAGGTTTAGCATATATAGCTTTTACAATGTTGAGGTAAGTTCCTGTTATCCCTAATTTTTCTAGTGTTTTGAACATAAAGGGATGCTGTACTTTGTCGAATGCTTTTTCTGCATCTATCGAGATGATCATATGGTTCTTATCTTTGAGTCTATTGATGTGGTGAATAGCATTTATTGATTTCCGTATATTGAACCAGCCTTGCATCCCAGGGATGAATCCTACTTGATCATGGTGCACAATTTTTTTGATATGCTTTTGTATTCGATTCGCCAGGATTTTATTGAGAATTTTTGCATCCAAGTTCATTAGAGATATTGGTCTGTAGTTTTCTTTCTTTGAAGTGTCTTTGTCTGGTTTCGGGATCAGGGTGATGTTTGCCTCATAGAATGAATTTGGAAGAGCTCCTTCTTTTTCTATTTCTTGAAATAGCTTGAAAGGTATTGGTATTAATTCTTCTTTGAAGGTTTTGTAGAACTCCGCTGTATACCCATCCGGTCCAGGGCTTTTCTTGGTTGGTAGTCTTTTGATGGCTTCTTCTATTTCTTCCTTTGTTATTGGTCTGTTTAAATTGTGTGTGTCTTCCTGACTCAATCTGGGCAGATCGTATGACTTAAGAAATTTATCGATATCTTCACTATGTTCTATTTTATTGGAATATAGGGTTTCAAAATACTTTCTAATTATCTTCTGTATTTCTGTAGTGTCTGTTGTGATATTGCCTTTTTCATCCTGTATGTTAGTAATTTGAATTCTCTCTCTTCTTCTCTTCGTTAGCATGGCTAAGGGCCTGTCGATCTTATTTATTTTTTCAAAGAAACAACTTTTAGTTTTATCAATTTTTTCAATGGATTTTTTTGTTTCAATTTCGTTGATTTCTGCTCTAATTTTAATTATTTATTGTCTTCTACTACATTTGCTGTTGTTTTTCTCTTCCTTTTCTAGGTTTTTGAGGTGTAGTGTGAGTTCATTTATTTGTTGGTTTTTTCTTTTTTTGAGGAAAGAACTCCAAGAAATGAATTTCCCTCTTAAAACTCTTTTCATTGTGTCCCATAGATTCTGGTATGTTGTGTCTGTATTTTCATTTGTCTCTAAGAATTTTTTTATCTCCTCCTTTATGTCTTCTGTAACCCATTGATCATTCAGTAGCATATTGTTCATTTTCCATGTGATGTAGGATTTTTCCTTCCTTCTTTTATCATTGATTTCCAGTTTCATTCCATTATGATCAGATATGGTGCATGGTATTATCTCCACGCCTTTATATTTACTAAGAGTCGCCCTATGGCATAATATATGGTCTATCTTTGAGTAGGATCCATGTGCTGATGAGAAGAACGTGTATCCACTTGATGATGGTTGATATATTCTATATATGTCGGTTAAGTCTAGGTTATTGATTGTGCTGTTGAGTTCTATAGTTTCTTTATTCAGTTTTTGTCTAGAGGATCTGTCTAATGGCGAGAGTGGTGTGTTGAAGTCACCCATAATTATTGTGTTGTAGTCTATTTGACTCTTGAACTTGAGGAGAGTTTGTTTTATGAACGTTGCAGCTCCATTGTTTGGTGCATACAAATTGATAATTGTTATGTCTTGTTGGTGGATGGTTCCTTTTAACAGTATATAGTGTCCTTCTTTATCCCTTTTGATTAACTTAGGTTTGAAGTTGATTTTATTCGATATGAGTATGGCCACTCCTGCTTGCTTCCAAGGGCCATGTGAGTGGTATGATTTTTCCCAACCTTTTACCTTCAGCCTGTGTATGTCTTTTCCTATCATATGAGTCTCCTGAAGGCAGCATATTGTTGGATTTGTTTTTTGATCCAGGTTACTAGCCTAT